ATGACTTAATGTTGCAGCACGAATAGAGCTTCTTTTTTTTTGTTTTACTATATACAGTACACCATGGGTTTCATAAATGTAATTATTATCTTAACCTATAATAACACATTGTGATTATTTGTTAATTACATGTTTTATTAACCATCAGATTCTTCAAAGTAACTAACAGATACATGTAGTTGAGTAAGGTACAATGTTTGCCTGTGAATTGTAGTGGAGTAGAAGTTTAAAGTATTAGCAATGAAATCCTCTAGGAAAGAATAAGTACCTCAGAATTGCTTTAAGTACAGTACTAAAGTACATGAAGGCCTAGTTACTGTCCATCTATCCAGGGAATTGACAAAGACATTTGCTGCAAACAACAAAGTGATAGAGCTTATTCCCAACCCATTCTGAAGCTTTCTCACCAAGTCCTGAGTTTTTAGCTAGTTCTGAGAGAATAATGGACATTCTGCATTACCACAAAACAAGCAAAGCACTATATATCCCTAGATATAAATACATGCCAAAGGAGAGACACATTTCCGATAACATGGACTACCAGATGTCCCTAGACTAGCCTGCAAAGCATCCTGTATCAACTTATGCCAACAGGCAGGAATAAGGAGACAAAACTATGCTCTTGACAAACTAATTGTTCATCCTCCGCAAACCCCCACCCATCCCCCGATCCCCCCCTCCCAAAGGGCTGAGAGAACGGACTCACACCACTCATCTCAGAGGACTGAGAAAAGGGACTAAAGAGACAGAAGGGGTTCGTAGCTTGGTGCATGCATATACACACGCACACACAAGGGATGCACACATACACACACACAAACATGCACTTTAGCATCAGAACTGTAATGGACATTGTGCTTAATTTTCTGTTAGTCTATCTCTATTTATGTCAGTGAATGCTAAACTACCTAAGAAAGGGCTAAAGATCGCTCACTTGAATATCTGCAGCCTTAGAAATAAGGTTCAGTGTGTTCAGGATATGTTGATATCAAATAATATTCATATTTTGGCCATCTCTGAAACTCACTTAGATGACTCGTTTGAGGACGGTGAAATATCAATACAGGGGTATCATTTTTACAGAAAGGATAGAAACTGCAATGGGGGAGGAGTGGCTTTTTATGTACAAAGTCACATTCCTGTGAAGTATAGGGAGGATTTGATGTTAAGTGAGGTAGAGATGGTATGGCTGCAGGTTCACCTGTCCCATTTAAAACCTATGTTGCTGGGATGTTGCTATAGACCAAGCTCTTATAGTAATTATCTAGATAAATTGTGTGAAATGATTGAGAAGGCATGTGATGAAAACAGGGAGATATATTTATTGGGTGACGTGAATATTGACTTTCTGTCATCAAACTGTTCATTGAAAAACAAATTGATGACGGTAACAAGTGCATGTAACCTAGATCAGATGATCAATCAACCAACCAGGGTAATTACCAATAGCTCTGGAGTAACATCATCCAAATGCATTGATCACATATACACAAACGCAAGTGAACTGTGCTCAAAAGCGGTATCAGTACCAATTGGCTTCAGCGATCATAACCTTGTAGCAATATGTAGGAAAGCCAAAGTCCCAAAAGCAGGACCGAAAATAGTGCTGAAGAGATCATATAAAGGGTTTTGCTGTGATTCATATGTGGAGGATGTTAAGGGAGTATGTTGGTCTAATGTTTTTAAAGAGAGTGACACAAATGTGGCACTGGATGTTTTCATGAAATTGTTGTTACCAGTGATGGATAAACATGCACCTGTTAAGAAGTTAACCGTTAAAACAGTAAAGGCACCATGGATTGACGAGGAGCTAAAGAAATGTATGGCTGATAGAGACAGAACAAAAAGGGCAGCAATGAATTCCAGCAATCATTCTGAGTGGCAGTTATATTGCAAAATAAGAAATAATGTGACAAAACTGAACAGAAAGAAGAAGAAAATGTATTATGAGATTAAGATAAATGATATAAAGCATGATGGAAAAAAGCTCTGGGGTACCTTGAATACCATCATGGGTAGGAAAAACAACTCAACACCATCCTTTATAGAATCAGAGGGGGCATACAACACTAGACCACTAGATATTGCCAATTATTTTAATAACTATTTCATTGATAAAGTGGAGAAGCTAAGGCAGGGAATGCCAAAATCTAGCTGCGAGTCGTCCTATGTTAATATTAGAGAACGTATTATGAAAAATAAAAATTGCACCTTTGAGCTGGATAAAGTTAGGACAGAAGAGGTGGAAAAGTTATTGTTGGCAATCAATAATGATAAACCACCAGGTATTGATAACTTAGACGGTCAGCTATTAAAGAATGTGGCCAAGTTCATTGCTGCACCCATCTGTCATATTTTTAACATGAGTCTGGAAGTCATGCCCGCAAATCTGGAAAGTAGCTAAAGTTATTCCACTCCCTAAAAATGCAAAGAATGCCTTCACTGGCTCTAACAGCAGACCAATAAGCCTGTCACCTGTTCTAAACAAACTACTAGAAAAAATTGTATTCAATCAAATACAATGCTATTTTTCTGTTCACAGTCTGATGAGTGAGTATCAACATGCGTATAGAGAGGGTCACTCAACAGCCACAGCATTAACACAAATGACAGATCAATGGATGAAAGAGATTGATGTGAAGAAAATGGTGGGAGCAGTACTATTAGATTATAGCGCTGTCTTTCATTTGATAGACCATAGAATTTTACTTGACAAATTGGAGTGCTATGGTTTTGCCCCAAAGGCGATATCATGGCTAGAAAGCTATCTATATAACAGAACTCAAAGTGTATACTTTAATGGCAGTATCTCTAGTGCTAGATGTGTTGCAAGTGGAATTCCACAAGGAAGTTCACTAGGTCCTTTACTCTTCTCAATCTTTACAAATGATTTTCCATTAGCTCTTGAAAAAGCACAAGTCTCTATGTACTCGGATGACATGACAATATAGGCTCCCACAATCGGTGAGATAACTGATATTCTGAACAAAGAACTGAAAACAGTAATGGAATGGGTGACTGACCAGCAACAAATTAGTGCTCAACATTCAAAAAACAAAAAGTATTGTATTTGGCACAAATTACGTACTAAGGTCTAAACCGCAGTTGAATCTGATGCTGAATAATGTAGAGGTTGAGCAGGTGGAGGAAACAAAGCTCCTGGGACTCATCCTAGTGAACAATTTATCATGGACGAAACACATAGAGTCAGTGGTGGCAAAGATGGGGAGGAATATATCTGTCATCAAGAGGTGCTCAGTGTTTTTACCACTGCAACTGACAAAACAAGTCATTGAGACTCTAGTCCTTTCACAACTGGACTACTGCTCAATGATCTGGTCAGGGGCAAACAAGAGGGAAAGCTACAACTGGTTCAAAACAGAGCAGCTCGGCTTGCCCTTAGGTGTACACCAAGACATAATGTAAACAAAATGCATGTCAAGCTCTCCTGGACATTAGTCACGGAGAGGCTGATGGTATCACTCCTTGTCTTTTTGAGAAACATAAATGAGCTGAAACATCCAACCTGTCTATATAAGCAACTTACACCTAGCTCTAAAATCCATACATATAAAACGAGACATGCCACAAGAGGTTGCTATCAAATCCCTAAAGCCAAAACAGAGTCTATGAAGAGCACAGTGCTGTATAGAGCCATGGCTGCATGGAACACACTGCCAGATCAGATTTCTAAAGAAACAACTAAAGCAAGCTTCAAAAGACGATTGAAGAGGCATCTAGAAGCCCAAAGACTGTAAATGACGCAAGCAGCAGACAGGTTATGGTAAACATACAGCAGCACACCGATTCATATAGGTTTTTTAAACACATGCAGGAATATGGTACTTTCGCTAACATAGACACACACACAGCCTTTCACAGTTATGATGAGGATTGTATTTGTTCAGAAAATAAGCTGTATGTGATGGTTGATATGAAAGTCACTGTTTGAAGGAAAATTGACGCCGTACACGATTTGTATCATTGTCTTGTAATGTACTGTCGAATGTCATGTTTTATGTTATTTGTGGACCCCAGGAAGATTAGCTGTTGTTATGCACCAGCTAATGGGGATCCTAATAAACTAAACTAAACTTGTAAAGCACTTAAAGCTCTCACAGTGAGGGTAGCACCCCAAGGTCGCAGGCCAGTGCTCTGCCAGGGGTTTGAAAGTGTTCAATTGGGTCAAAGGTATTGGCATAGGAGATTATTTTTCTGAACAACTGATAAGTATTTTAACTTAAGAATCTGCAGCACACTATACATTACATTTCTTCAGAATCGAGTTTATTGCCAGGTACGTTTACACATACAAGGAATATGCTTGGGTGAATGGTGGGTGCAAACACAAACAACATAAGAAAACAAGTTTAAGGAAAGGTCAAACATAAAAAATATAATTATAAAAAGAAAATTTAATAAAAACTATAAGATAAGTATTTACACCAAATTTAAATATACAAAAGAAACTAAAAAGCTTGGTACAATGAATGTATGATAATATTTGATAAACTGCAGTGTATTGTATTTTAAAGTGGAGGGCTGTGCAGAAATGTACTAAATATATTCAGAGATGAGTTCAGAATAATATATATTATATGTTTTGATTATAATTATTGATGCATTAAAGTGTTATCAAAGCTGGTAAAGGTGCAGCTAGTAATTACTTTGTTTGCTGCAGGGTATGTGAGTTTTATCCAGGTACTCCAACTAAAGTCTTATTTAAGTATTCATTACTTAAAACACTGACCAAAACACACCTCTTCAGACTGGCTTTTAATGTGTGAATTGTTGTGTTGCTGTTTTTATGTTTTTATTTTTATTTTATTTCCTTTGTATCACCACTGTAAAGTGTCTTTGAGCACCTGAAAAAGCACTTTGAAATTAAATGTATTATTATTATTATTATTATTATTATTATTAAATGTACTTAGTTACTTTACACCACTGCTGTCTACAACACCTGTCTCGGGGTCATAATGTCAGGTGTCAGAGGCTGCGGGCTGCAGCGCCCCCTGCTGGTGAGACCGCGGACCTGCGGGTGTGAGTGCATGAGGACAGTTGAAGATGGCGACTGGAGTCCTTCACAGAGTTTGCGGGAGCCTGGGTCGGGCTAAAAACAGGGCCCCGACAGCGGGACAGCTCGTCGTGTTGAGCAGGTAGGGCAGCCTTCGGTGTTCATGTTCAGTCGTCGTCTCTGGAGTGTCTGTAGTCAGCTGTCGACTCATTTATTTCTCTAGTTTTCTCCTGTGGTGGCGACGATAAGCTCGGGCAAGCTAGCCCGTTAGCCAGTCCTCTGTGGCCTTCAGCTGGGACTCACAGAACAGCTGCAACACCTTTTTAAATAGTTAATACCGGGATATTTAACGCTAAAACTGCGTGTGTTTGCAGGTGAAGGGGAAATAATACAAGTTTCTGTCATATTTTGTTATTTAGAATATCAAACGCTCAAGGTCAATTTGGTAGTTGGTTGTAAACATGAGATGTTTCTGCCTCACTAGTCTGCTGTAAACAGTGTGTAGTGCTTATAAATACAATAAACAAAGGCTCAATGCAAGCTCTTTGCAATGACGTTAATGCAAATACTGTGCAAGTGATTGTCATGCAATTTAGATTTGAGTAGCATCAAAACTAGGAAATATTTGTTTTGCACAACGCCCAATTTGAGATTAGTGTGTATTTTATAGTTGGAGTACTATTAATACATTACTTTCTACATCCCTTCCATGTTGCAGCTGGTATAGGTGAAGCTTTATATATGCTGTTTTTCAATTCCCTTGTGTGGAAAGGTGCTATATAAATAAACGTGCCTTGCCTTGCTGTGGGCTTGTGAATTCCAATCAAAAGAGTCTGGTTTTATTTGAGCCTATAACAACACATCATATTTGTAGGTTATATTGTGTATTATTAGTATCAATTTGCAAAGTAACTCATAACTAAAGGTATCACACAAATGTAGTGAAGTAAAGAGTACAATATTTCCCTCTGAGATGTTGAGAATAATTATAATGTAGCAGACAATGGAAATACCTCCAAATTGAACTTATGTACTCTACCTAAATGTATTTACTTTCCTGGTGGATGCTCTTGCATGTCGGCTCAGCTAAAATAACATGTTTATGTGAGTGCAAATCTAGCATGTGATCCAATATGTAATCCTGTTGTTCATCATGACTCATCTGTGTTTGCAGAGGATTTGAAACATCAAGCAGCAGAAACAGTCAGGACAGCTGGTTTAAATCACTGTTTGTGAGGAAAGTGGATCCCAGGAAAGATGCACACGCTAACCTACTGACCAAAAATGAGGAAAGCAACCTGTACAAAATTCAGTGTAAGTTCACTTAACAGTATTTGCACTTAATAAAAACACATTATTCTGAAGTAATGATGACATTATTCTTAATTATTATGTTCTTTTTTCAGTCCATAATGTCAAGCCAGAGTGCCTGGATGCATACAACAAACTCTGGTGAGTGTTATTTTCCTATATAAGCTGCATACTGTCAATAGCTGTACTTAAACAAAAATGGTGACAGCAATAGTAATACTAGGACCGGGACAACCTAGTACACTGTTTTAAAAATAACTCTGAGCAGTCTATTCCTGTAGTGATTGACAAGCTGGCATGACTTCAGTTCTTTAAAGACCAACCTTGCTCATGCCTTAGATGAGTGGAGGCCGTCTTGTAGTTGGAGGCTAATTTTAGACTTGTGACATTAAACAGAGGTCACATGACCAGATAAACATGGGATTGTTATTCAAATTATGTTATTTAAAATAGAATGTTGCCTTCAGTTAAGCTGTATTTGGTTGGTGTTTCTTATTCCTTACAGTGAGGAGGTTTTGCCCTCCATCCACGCTGATAAGTACTACCCCTGTGAGCTGGTGGGCACTTGGAACACCTGGTATGGAGAACAAGACCAGGCTGGTAGGAATATTAATATCAACACACAGAGATCTGCAGTGCCACATGTCTGTGGTCTGCACAGTACAGATCAGCCGGCATGTCACACTGCAGATCCACACTCTTGAATGCATGTATGTATGTTTACTGTCATGTTGTTTTTAAACATAGAGACGCAATAGTACCTCCTCATTCCTCTTTTCCAGGGTCTCAATTTCGTACTCTTCTCATTCTACAACTCAATTATTTGTACAATGAAATATTGAATTATAGGCTTGGTGGTACTCAAAAATCTGAATGGCAAATAATTCAATAATTCAGTCCATTATTTGCTATTCGTATATATGACCTGTACAGACGAACAAAACAGTATTTTTAATTTGGTGTAGTCTTAACGGCTAATGATCTTTCATTATCAGAAGGGAGTTTATTTTAATCTGATGGAAATATATGGCATTTTCACAAAAACATGTACAGTTCAGAACCCTCCTGACCTGTATAGTTTTAACCCTTCACAAAGGGTTTCTTTAGATTTTGCCATTTTGCACCCATTACATATATTTTTCTACCCTTTTCCCAGTTCATCTGTGGCGTTACAGAGGGGGATACCCGGCTCTGACGGATGTGATGAGCAAGCTGAAGCAGAACAAGGTAAACATCCTGATGCATCTAGTCTGTGTCCATTATTAGTGTTCTAATAATGTGCTAATAACCCAGTGTAGCCATCAGTCGAAGTAAAGCTTATTGATCGGTGTCTGTTCGTTATCAGGAGTTCACAGAGTACAGGAAGGAGCGGGGCAAGATGCTGATGTCTCGCAGGAACCAGCTTCTGCTAGAGTTCAGCTTCTGGAACGAGCCCGTCCCCCGAGAGGGCCCCAACATCTACGAGCTGCGGTCCTACCAGCTCAGGGTGGGTAACACACCGGAGGGCTGAGCAAGGCTTTAGTTGTGCTAAAGATGTTGTGATGGAGAGTTTGAAAGTGTGAGCCCAGTCTGACCTGATGTTATATACTTCTGTTTTGACAGACAGAAAAATAATCGTCAACTATTTTACTCGATTATTCCTTAAAGGTGGGGTAGGTAAGTTTGAGAAACCGGCTCGAGATACACTTTTTGTTATATTCCATGGAATGCTCTTAACATCCCGATAGCAATGAATATCTGAAGTGCTTTGACAAAAAAATCCATGAAAAATGTCATCTGTGGAAGCCGTAGTACTGTAAAAAGCACGACCAATCATCTGAGCCGGCCCGGCTAAAATAACTGGATGGCCTACCTGCCTGTCAGCCTTCCATCTGTGCACAAACTTATCTCGTGCCCTCATTGGTCATGTGCGCGTTCCTGTGTGTTGGAGGAGGGGCTCTGTAAGGAAGTGGCAGATTTTTTCCAGCTGTGTATTTTAAAATTCTAGCGCACTCGAGCTGGTTTCTCCAAAATTACCTACCCCACCTTTAAATAGTCATTTTTCATGCAGAATTTCTCAGGAAATTGCTGTTTTCAGGCTTATTAATAATGAGATGTGCTGCTTTTATTAGACTAAATAACTTTGGGTTTTCCAATGACAAATCAAACATTTAAAGACTTCCCTTTTTAATCTTTTGAAACTGGGATGGACGTTGTATAATATATTCTGACATTTTACAGACTAAGCAATTCAACGTGAAAATAATTTGCAGATAAAAACAAAAACTATGAGTTGCCCAACAGGAGAGTAATTACTTATATTAAAGAGCTGACATGAAATACAGTGTCTGTTGTGTGTGCAGAGTAGAAAGAAAGAACAGTGGTATTTTCAACTGAAAGCTTGCTTTTTTACAAAGGTTTGAATTATTATTAAAAATGACTTGAGTTTAATAACCAGTGTGTTTTTTACATGATCACCACTAGAAGCTTCTCCTGGACTTAACGTAACTTCTGTAAATCATGTAGTGTCTTCAGCATTTAGGATGACAGTGGTGATTAAAGAGTCCCCATTTGTGCTATCTGTAACTTATTTTCTACGCATCCATTCAAATGAAATCAAGTGTCTCAACGGTTATATCGAAGGCAGTCTTGACTCGCATTATGTTCGACACACATCACGCCCTACAGATTAAGTCGTTTCTCCTGATCTGCCAGCAATAACTTTAGATCAGCACTCTCTGTCATGTGATGAATGCAAGCTATTATCCCCCATCACTGACCGGGATTACATCCGAGGAACAGCAGGGCGTTTGTTTGCTTAAGCTCCAAAATATGATTGAAGAAGCCTTTGGGTGGAGTTGCTGTTGCAGCTTATCTTCACAATGATGAAATACCTTTGATACATCTTTACTATTTGTCTGTAGTAATGGGCATGCTCTGGAGATCAGACGCAGGTGGGACATCAATTTGTACTTTGGAAAGTTGATGAATTGTAATAAAGAATATTGTGTTTTCTTTCTTTCAGCCAGGAACCATGATCGAGTGGGGTAATTACTGGTAAGGCAGCTTGAATTCAATTTGATACACTGAACTGTAGTCACAGAGCAGTTGCACTACATGGAACCTTCCTCATTAATACAGGATATTCCACAGGGAGGCACCATTTTGAAGACGAACTGTCGTGCTTTCAAGCCAATATTTAAATACAGTTGGAGTTCTCTGTACACTACGGTTCAGAATAATGATCATTTTCTCGAGCAGATCAAAAGGTCAACATTCATCACTTCTAGCAATGCGGCCGATTGCAATTGATTTAAATGAAGACGTGAACTTTCTGAACACGCCTTAGTTTTCATTTTTTATTAGCTGATTGGACCACTATTGAGTTTTCTCTTAGTCTTTGTACTTGTCAGACTGCTTTGCTTTCTAAACCTACTTCATTACATTTCAAAGCCTGTTTTGCATAGTTGTGCCAGTCCATGTCAAATCTTCTGCACCTTTTTCCAGTTAGCACATTTAGAATAATTCTTTACTTATGTCTGTGTGATTTCACATGTTAACTTAACTTGAAACGCTTTAATAACGCCCAGCCTTTTCTGCTCTGAGGCTTTACTCTGCCTTTCATTCTATTACAGCACATTTAAATGACCATAAGACAAGAGATCAAGCTGGGACATGGTCATATTTTCCTAAAGCTACTATTCTTGTAATTATTTATCCAGGCTGCATTTGAATAAACCCCTATAGTCAAGAAGATGATGTCATTAAAGCAATTTTAATATAATTTGTGTAGTTGAAGGCTTAAATGTCTTCCGGTTACAACAACATAAGGAATGGAAACTTTAAAGTTTTGTATCCAAACCGTCATTATGATTTAAATAAGTATATGTTTGCTTTGGGGGGAAATCGATTTAAAATATTCAACTCTCACCAGAGCACTCATTTCACATGGAATTGGCCAGCGTTAAGATTTAAAAAAGATGTGATGTTGCAATGGATAATCACAGCTAAGGAAACGATTGTCATGTTAGCAAAAGTGGCTCAATCCAACCGTGTAAATGAAAAACAGTCCATAATGCATTCAAAGATGGCGTGGGATATCAAATGTCTCTTGCAGTTCTGCTGTTGTCATGCCAGATGTAGCCTTGACATTCTTTTTCTGACTGGAGTTGTTTTTGTCTGCAGGGCCAGAGCCATCGGATATCGCCAGCACAACAGTGAGGCTGTGGGGGGGTTCTTCTCACAGATCGGAAACCTCTACATGGTTCATCACCTCTGGGGTACGGACACACCCCAGCTTGAGGGGGAATTACTAGGGATGTAACGATATACCGAATATCGCGGTAAATAAACGTCCCAATACCGTCGTGAGACTGACAAAATCTACCTTTTATTTTTAAACACTTTTTTTTGTTTTAAACCTTTATTTAACCAGATGGTCCATTGAGATCATCGATCTCTTTTTCAAGAGAGACCTGTCCAACATGGCAGCAAGTAGGTTACAACATGAACATAAAACAACAGAACACAAAAGGACATCGTATTTACAGGGCTACATTTACACACCTAGAGACATTGACAAGTGGGGGGGGGGGGTGTTATGCCGTGTGTGCATGCACCTCGCGCACCCAGCGTAAAGCAAAACCTTCCAGACATGTGTTGATCTGTACGGTTAGGAAACTATATCATTTCCTTTTGGAGGGCATGCATAACACGGCATAACACCAGAGCCTCGCTGCGGGGAAACTTTGGCGCTGTTCCGAGTTTGTTCTAATCTGACGGACTGCTTTCAGATTTTTCCGTCATTGATAAATAAAATATTCGGTTAACTGCTGTCCCAGCAACATCAGTACCAAGCGAGAGAGTTTTTTCCAGAGCAGGGGATATTGTAAATGCCCAAACATCCCAGCTTATAAATACCTGGAAATGTGGACATTCTCATATTCCTAAAAACCTGTCTGATGATGCTGAGTGAGTGACTAGTGAGTTTGAGTTGAGTTACTTAAATTAAAGTGACACTTGATTTATTTTATTGCAGGGTCTGATTATTAAATGTCCCTGTTTATTTGTGAGATGCAGTGGCACAAAGAAAATGCCTACTTTGTTTGGTAGTACTAGTAGGTACAAAAACACTGGTTTTCTTGTTCCAGTCTGTTACTGTCACTTTGTTTTTGACACTTTAAAATACTGCTATCCTACTAAAATGCTGTACAAATCAGATTTATTATGTAATAAAGAAGAAAAAAAATGTTCTTTATTATTCAATATCGTGATAAATACCGTACCGTGGACTTGTTATCGCGATATTATCGTACCGTGAGTTTTTGGTATCGTTACATCCCTAGAAATTACACACCGACAGTGTCAGAGTAGACGATCAAGCTAATCCGGAAATCTTTAGTTAGACAGAAAATCAAGTTTTGACAACGACTGACAAAGAAATTGTTCTATATTATTGTAAATAATTTGAGTCAAAGGCAACTTTATTGTCAATTTGGCTGTTTGTGTTACACAGACAGGGAGTTTGTTTTGGAGCACAAACATATTTTCGAAGTTGTCACCTGGTCAACTTTCATTTATTTATTAACTCTACTGCACTCATTTATATTTTTTAACAGTGTATATAATGACTTTATGTAGTTTTAAACTGGTTCAGATGTAGTGAAGAACCCTGTTATAAATATCACTCCATTCAGCAGAGTCCCTTGTTTCATTTTAAGAAAAATCTGTTCAAATTCAACAATTTAAAAAAACTACTAGATTCATCTATATTCTATAAAATACTCCTTAATCCTTAATAACTGCAACAGACTTTACAGTGACTATAAGCGCTCATCAGTGCTATAATGTGTGGTTTGTTGCAGCTTACAAAGACCTTCAGACCAGAGAAGAGACGAGGAACGGCGCCTGGCAGCAGGAGGGCTGGGACGAGGTGGTATATTACACAGGTGAGCACAAAGAAATAGGTTTCTAAACACAACGTGGTGAGGAAATGTCATACTGCATGTCTGTAGCTTTTATTTCACATGTTTTAAGGCTGTCTTGAGTAACAACATGTTGACTTTGTAGATTATGCTGAACCTGATCAATATCACATGACCTTTAACAGTAGATCTTTTTTGAAATGTTGTAAGGCATTGGAAAATATGGCCACATTTGTTATTAACATTTCTAAATCTTTCAAACGTTTTAAAAGACATGGAAAGTGGGATGAATAGTTGTTTTCTGTTGCAATATAAAGAGAACACTAACATCTATTTAAAACATTGATTTGCCAAGTTGTATTTAATCTAACTTGCTTTTAGTTGTAGGAGCCTTGTTTAAACGATGTGGACACTGATTTAAATCTTATCACCTTTCTCCAGTTCCTCTCATTCAACACATGGATTCCAGGATTATGATCCCGACTAAGGCTTCCCCGTTGAAGTAAAGTGAGCTGGAAGCGGAAATCCAGGGGCACCCCACCCCTCCTCTCCTCCCCCTCCCTCCTCCCCCTCCGAATGTTACATCCATCCAGAGCATCACTATCGTGGTTTCCACCTCCCATCAGTGCTGCCGAACAACGTCCCTTCTCCCTTCTTTGTTATTTCAAAATGTCACCAGGACAGAGGAGGCAACAATGCCCACCATTTATCAGCCGTTGAAATATTCAAAACCACCGACAGATGCACAACATCCCATTTATTTTTTTAGTTCAGGTGCAGGATGAGTACATTTCGCTGATTTAAACCTCCTGATGCTCACGATGTCCAAAGTCCGGTGCCACATTAAATCTGGGCCGTGCAGAGCTCATTTCTAAGTTTAGAAACAACCAAAGTTACTTAAAGACGTGCAGCTGTGTTGACAGATAGAAAGAATAGTGTTGCTGAAGCTCACTGCACAATGCAGGAGCTATTTATTTATTTATTTAATGTAAATTTGGAGCGGTTATATTGGCGTGCTGGGGAGTGGCACTTTGACATTGCAGAGTGAAGTAAAAACGTCTTCATCTTTCAAGAAAACTGTATTTCTGTTGCATATCATGATAAAACTAAAGTATAAAATGGTGTAACATGTACGTTAATTGAGGTCCTACTACTCCTTTCTGTTGCCTCTTTGGATGTTCCTAGGTTGTCTGTTATGGTAATGTTGCAGTTTCATGGTGCTGTGTTTGTAGCTACTGCTTTTTTCACGTGAAGACAGAATGCCAGGTTTCAGAAACAGTTTTTATCCAACATGTTTAAACGAGGCATCGCTATCATGTATGATACACTCATAAAACAAATGTTATCTATCAGTGGCTGAGGTACTCTAGCTGCTGCTTATTGTAATATCAGATGTTATTGTTAAAGGAAGCATGTTTATCTTGTCTTTTGTTCATCAGTCACAGGAAACGGTGTAGAGGGAAAAGACGAGAAGGCCAAAACAGAATAAAGCAGTTTCAACAATGTTGTTGACAACATGTTCTCGTTTTTAATACTGATGTTCTTTACAGGACTCAACACTCATTGACGTAGTGTAGTTACAGCTCGTTATATTCATACTGAACTAAAACATTTCTATTACTCATTGCGCATTTCATAAAATGCACGAGTTGTGTTAGCTCGACTAGAGACTTGAATGCAAAAAGTGCATGACAATAAGATATTTTTACCTTCACATAAAAAGTTCTAGGTTAATCCTTTAGTAACTAGTACAAATCAATAGGGCAGCATCCCTATGAAAGAAAAACTGGACTTTCTAGTGTAAACATTTTCATTCAATATAAAAATCTATCGAGTAGAAGGAAACGTGTGCACGGGATAAAACCAACAGAAGAGCACCCTTGGGTGCAAATAAAAAAATGTTAGAGTTACAGTACACTTTTTAGCTTATTTAAATATTTTCTAGTTCCTTTAGCAGCTCCCTAAAACTTGTCACGTACCACAAGGACTTCTCCTTAACCTGCGGCCTGATGACATTACCACCAAATCCAATGAAGGCGTTCTGAGGACGAAAGAGAACACTAGTCACAATGTGTTTTCAAAATAACATCAATCACTAATCAAGCAGGCACTTGCACACAAATGAAACTGGAGTTTTCACTTACAGCAGGAGGGCATGCCTCTAGATCTGTGGCCCCATCTCCGATCATCACCACATTCTCGAAACCATTTTGTTCCTTCAACATACTGATGACTTTCCCTTTTCCACCACCCTCAGCAGTGGGCTGGCTCTCATCAAAGCCAGCATACTCTCCTAAAAAACACATATGATTCAATTTAGTAACTTAAAGTCATACTGATACAGGTTGAGTCAAATTTGAAATGGCAACAACTTTTATCAAGGCCGATACCTTTTGGATAGAGTGGTAATCGTTATTTCAAACAGGTCCTCTTTAAGACGGATACACAAACAATGCTCCGCCCTTATGAAAAACAAGAAAAGTCAGCTCTTACCATTGAAGTAGAACTTGAGCCGGTTGGCGTAAACATGATGAAGAGGAATGTTTAGCTGAGTGGCCACGTGTTCAACGATGCAGCGGAAGCCCCCTGAGATGAGGTACACTTTGATGCCACGCTGGTGCAGGCGGTCCACAAGCTCACTGGGGGAAGATGTATGGACATTTGTCAAAACACAAATTAGAAGGATGGAGTGTTCATAGGTATTAACAACAGACTTTTTTTAAAGATCAACAGTAGCAGGTATCCCTTGAAAAAGAGATCAATGATCTCAAGGGATACACCTGGGTAAATAAAGGCTTGAAATTAAATGAAACAAGATTTGCTTTTTAAGTTCCTAACCTGTAATTTCCATAGCGTTGACCTAAACAAATCTAACATACATTATTATTATTATGTGTTGATACAACAAATACAAATCGTTCCGTCTCCCTCTAAATGCTTATATTTGTTTTAATACAATACATACAAATGTTTACTCTTGTTGTCTTCCTCTATCTGAGCCAGTCAATTAAAACAATTTGCCTTGATATACATGTTGTGCATCCCTTGTTTTTGTACACTTTAGAACAATAGGCACTGGCAGTAGTAAAACCTAATTTACATCAACAGTGGCCAGACAGTTTCGGACATTAACCACTCGGACACATCAACGAGTTGCTAAGTAGGTAAAGCAAGCAGAAATGCATGTGCACAAAGGAGCAGAAAAGAGTTAAAATGTTAATTTCTGTGTAAGAAGTTCAACTTTTTCACGTGTAAAGCCCTTTCAGGTATGCTTGTTTCAATTCCATATAAATAGTCAAAAAGTACTGAGACCTTATTAAGAGAGGGTTGTTTACCATAGATTAGGAAAATTGATTATTTAATGTACATTAAAACTTCACACACTCACCTTATACCTGGAGTCAGCTGGGGTGGATGGTCTGTTAACAGTTTGTTCACTTGTTCTCTTGAACATCGGATGATGGATAGACGCTCAATCAGGGCTGTTTTGAATGACATTGAGCCGCCCATAGCTTTGCGCGTCCTAAAATGTGAAAGAAGCAATATATTTGCATAATTATTTAAATAAATCCAGGTATAATCTCAATTTTGGGGCACTTTTCAGTGCGCATTAAAGTGATGTTGACAGCATTTATACACATACATTTCAGTGACTGCATCCCCCACACCGCAAAATTTGGCAAGTTCATCTATGCCTTCTTCTTTGATGACTGTGCTGTCCACGTCGAAACAGACAGCATCTGCTCTCCGGAAGACTTCCTTCATATCTGAAAGTGTTGCCATTGTGCTGAAAAATAAATACAACATGTGACACATATTTAAAAAAACACAGCAGGAGTATCAGTACTCTGATGGCATAGTTGTATCAGGCTATTTTAGGAAGTCATCTGAGGGGGAAACTAATGTCATTAGCAGGGGCCTGAGCTGAGTTAGTTGGTTCAACACAAGGTCTGAGATTTCCCCTGCAGCTGCATGACTGGTATTGTTAAACTAAGCCCTGTATGCATTGAATGTTTTCTATCCAGTGAAGCAGCAAACACATCCATTGATTGAAATACCTATGTGCAAACATTTCTGCATCGAAGGATCTCAAATAAAACACGTGTTCCATCAACAATGGGTTACGGCTGGGCAAGGTCGGCGTCATGGGGGGGTCATTCGCAGGCCATGCCCCCCCAAATGAGTCACTGTGCCCCCCCAACGCAGGGCGGGAAAGCCTTGCCACTTTGTCGTTTAAAAAAAAAAAATCATATTTAAGTGAAAACGTTTCCACTAAAAGTTTTTTGTGTGAAATAAATCAGAAATAAAGTAAAACACAGCCTGAGGTGTGTTCACTGCTGCTCTCTGATTGGTGTGTTGCTTGACCAATGACCCCTGACCTTTGTTTTGTTCTCATTACGTGGCTGTGTGTTTAGATGAAAGCCCAGTGGCGATCTGTTCATCTGTTATACTGATCATACAGTAAAGCCATCGAAAATATGATATACAGTACAGTACAAGTACTTCTGGATCTCTGTGTTTCATTCAAGCTCGACTCTGTGTGTGTGTGGCACGAGCGCATTTTGTCAGTGCGCGAGCGGTAACGTGGAATGTTGTTGTTAGCATCTGGTTAGCTAGCTATGCTAACGGATATAAAGATCTGTTTATACACCAAGGTGGAGGAGAGTCCTCTCCTGTCAGACTGAGAGGATCTTATAACGTCAGCTCCGTGAGGTAAAGGACTCTCTCAGTGTTTAGATAGTTAACTTTAGTGTAAGTTATCTCAGTGGGTCTCAAACGGTTTGGTCACCATTTATGTAAACAAGTATTTGCGAGGAACACCTTTTATATGATCATTATAGTTATTAAAAAATAAGAGAATAAATGAAAAACAGGTATGAAATACTATAGGACAGTAACACAATAATACAGTTTAAAAGGGGAGTGATTAGTAAAATATCCATAAAGAAAAAGTAAATCTGTTTACAGTTCTGTTTCATATGGGTGTTGAGAGATGTATCCATATCTCTTAATGTTGCTCTCAAAGTGCACCAGATTAATGCTTTTAACTTCACTATTTAGAAGAGGAGGTTAGGTCCACCCCCCACCTAAAACATGTTCACATGGATAGGATACTAAATACATTTGCACACTTTTTATATGGTGGCCTATGTCCATATGTTTCTGTTTTGGTGGTCGTGCCACAACCGTTCATGTAGGCACAAGTCATAGGTGCGCTATAAAATAGCACTACACCCCTGCAATGTGTGTGAAAGACAATAGACTTTACAGCATGTTTTTTTTAATTGAAGTTGCGTTGATGTTTGTGTATTGGTTGTTGACGCCCCCCCCCCTGTGGTAAATTATTTCCCCCCCCATTCGATTTGTTCTAGAGCCGACCCTGCGGCTAGGCAGTCTATCTGCCTAAACAAACTATACCACAGGCTGTTATGGACATCCTTTGCACGGATTGCATCACCCGAGCCAGCCACACTACAAAAAACCGAGCGATACAAAACCTACCTACATACATACATTCTTCAAACAAGAAATTAGGCTTGTTTTGCGTAAACCTAACTTGCGACTTGCATAAAAAGTCCTCACGTGTCAACGCACAACGCACAGTCCTAACGCACAACAGATATACATCCATGATTCAGAAACGTTACCGGTCCGTGAACACACAAGCACTCAGCGGTGACCGTACACTACTCAAGCTGCAGCACTAATGTATGATTGAAAAATACTTTTAAAAAGTAGTGTCGTACTTACTGTTGGGAGAAGCGTTGGTAAGGCACTAACAGCAGCTTCAGCATTAGCCGATCCTTCAATCAATGGGCTCAGCGATGAGGAACAGACGAGGAAGGACGCTGCGAGCTCCACCAATCAGAGGGAAGCCGGAGAAGGACCGCCCACTTTGGTTGGCACGGTTACATGACGACAGCAACGGTCAACTGACGACTCATTTGATAAACACAGTGAAAAGTGTGCATGTCACTGTGTGTAGTGACATGACATCTAATGGGTGGAAGATACATCTATTAAGTACTAACTAATACCAGTATAGAAACACTTTTTTACAAGTTAAAGTCCTGGATTCAAAACATGACTTAAGAAAAAGGGAAATATGTTTAGTAAATTAGTAGGCCTTCCATAAGTAAGGGTTTGTCCTTTGGAGACACATGTAGGCTATTAGCCTAATCTTTCACACAGTGACGTCACGAGCTACCCACAATGCAACACGCGCCATATAGGCGAAGTCCCTCCCCTTCCGAAAGCCTCCATGGGACCCCGGAAGCGGAAAATTATACATTGAAGTCAATGGAGAGAGAAAGGTTATCTTTTGATCCCGTTTGAATTGTGCCACGAATGACACATATGATGTTTGTCAATTTAATAGAACATTTTGCAAGTCAAAAAAATAAAAATGTGTCGTAAAACTGTGAAGTTACACATTTTTTTGTGTGAAACCGCTCAGTGAACTACAGGTCTCTAGTCTCGCACAATACGCGTCACCAACATAAAGATGGCCGTCACGTTAGCACATTTCACCACATTCTTTCAGAATGAGAATACAATTATTTTACGAGGTGAAAATCACTACAAGTCTGGGCAAGTTGAGAGCTGTACCTATATGAAAGGGGAGTTAGTCGGTTCTGCAAGAGCCAGCATGCGGGACCGGCTTTACAAGGTTTCGGTGAGTAATATGAGTGCAATGTTTAACGTTAATGTCAGCTAGCTAACATTAGCTAACAAGGTACACTAACGTGTTTTGTTTTAGCAACTAGTTTTCTCCTTAAGAACTTCGTGGTCTCTGTGTATGCTGTGGATAACATTAGTGTTCACAAGAACAAGGTACACTCCCGTGTTTTGTTTTAGTTGCTCTTCAGATTGAAGCGGCCAGTTTTATATCGATTATACTGTATGTGTGATCTCCTTTTTCTCGTTGTGTCATTTGACTTTATTTGCTGTGTGTAGATTCAAGGATTTTGGTTATCTAGGCACAGCTGTGTGTGACTCCCTCTGGTACACTGGTATGTGTTTTCCTAATGTAGAGAGCATTGATTAATTAATAAACTACACACTGAGTCTAGATCCTGACCGAATCCTTTTTTATTGTTGATCAAATGTTTTTCAAAAATGTATTCATACACATTTAGAAAAATACAATGTACAATCACAACCAATACAACACAAATTACAAAAAATACAGAAAAAACAAACAATAACAACAGACAAGAGGACAAAACTATGGAAAAATAAACCCTCCCACCCCCAGATCCGGACCATCCTTGTATTATTGCTCATTCAATCTATTATAGCATGCTAACAAATGGTATTTACTTTATTTTTACAGATCTGCATGGGAGACGATGGCGCGATGCAGAGCGCTGTCTGTGATTGTGCACAGGAGATGTACAAATGCAGCCACGCTGCAGCATTGGCAATATTTGCCATGTGGCAGATCAGCTCCACAGATGTTGAGTGCCAGTGGAGGAAGCCTGGCACTTAAAAAGTAGTCCAGCCGGTGTCTCAACTTTACCAACAGCGAGAGGAGACATACAACCCACTGGCCAGAGACATCGCCAACTGTCAACTGGGGGGTTGTAAACGAAGCCGAAAGGGTGAAGGCTTTTGTGGAGGCTTTTGTGGAGGCCTATCAAGTGACAGTGTTCGAATCGAGTCTGGTCTCTTTGTGAGTGAGTCGGGTGTTTTGGGAGCATCACCCGATGGACTTGTGCAGCCATCTGCCCTGCTGGAGGTGAAGTGTCCACACAGCCAGAGGAACATGACCATCGCGGAGGCAGTCCAGTTACCATCCTTCTGTCTCCGTGAGGAGGGTGGGTCATATATTCTCAAGGAGAATCACCCATACTGGCATCAGGTCCAAGGGCAGCTGCATATCACAGACCGGAGTCTCTGCTACTTTGTTGTGTGGACCACGAAGGAGGCGATCATCATCCCCATCCCCAAAGACCCTGCATGGCATGGAAATCTCCTCCTCCTGGAACAATTCTACACCCAGCATATGCTCCCTGTGTTGGCCAGTAGAGAGGAGGACATTTCAATAAACATACTCTTAACACCCTCGGACTCTGCGTTGTGTTTCGTATGTGTGATGGGGTGTTATGCAGGGGGGAGGAAAACAGGACACAGCAGATTGGGATTGTGGTGGAGATGCTGAGCAGTTATTTAATTGTTGCATGTAATTATTATTATACTGCGTGCTTCTGAGTTATTCCATCTTTTGCTGTAACATGGATCTGTATGTAACTCTATATTTACTTGTTATCTAACACACTTCCTTCTACATCATACACCATCATTATACATGATGGTGTATATAGGATATATATATTTGTATACATATCTGTAAATTGTATAATTTTATTTAAACATCTTTTTGATCTCTCAAACTGAGTAAGATTGACAATAAAGTTGACTTTGAAAAATATATATATTCTTTATGAAAATAGTTGACTGTTGTCAAATGAAACGTTGGATTGAACTACAACTATGCCTTTAAATCTCTACGGACTGTTTTTCAGTGGGATGGCAAGTTCCTATCTTTAAACATTTATTAGTTTTTTCTCAGAACAGATTTGATTTTCTGAAGTTAATTTAACTTTGCCGACCATGTAAGGTCATCATTAAAAGGTACAATCAATTTGTTTATGGTTGACTAAAATAATGAAAAACATTCATTTGGATAATTTACTGACAGAATAAGAAACTCAATGATGCTCTACTCACCTGTTCCCTTTTTATAAAGTGAAACAGTTGAAACGATAGATTTTAGTAAACTTAAAAACAACCTTCTCCAAAAGCTATCAAGGAATATACCGAATACTTGTTTTAGAACTTACATATTTTTATATAAATAGTTTGAATGATCCATAATTGACAGAAGCTTGTGTTTACACTGACCTGTTACTCATATATTAATGTCTTTGTAACTTCAGTAAACCACTACCTCACTCATTTCACTTTCATTCATCACGGTTCAGTAAACTAAGTGATACATGAACCAGTTTAATCATTATAATAACGTAGGATTGCAACTCTTTGAAAATGTAGGTGGCTCTTAAAAGAGCCGTGTGTTTGGGTGTGCTGGTCTCAGGTCAGTCTAAGCCCTCTCTCCGCGGATGCGGCGGGCCAGCTGGATGTCTTTGGGCATGATGGTGACCCTCTTTGCTTGGTTCATCTTACTGGGGGGCAGCTATGGATGTCGGTGCAGTCCACAATCATTGCGCAGTTGAAGGCAGAATGAATTTATTATTGACTCCGAATGAAGCACAACTTCATGTCATACAATACAATGACTTTATTTGTAATTGTGTAAAAAAATATGAGCATTGATTAGCAAGCAGGACCTGCAGGAACAGAGAATGGTGATGGATGGAGCTGGGAAGAGAGAAGAATAAAGAAAACAGATCAACTTTATTATCGGATATTAAAAATTCAATTTCAAAACAAGTTGCCGCTCCTACAGTTTTCTAGTATGTAAAGATGATTTCACATGACCTATGCAAAATATCACACTCAATACATGTGTGTCTCTGGGGGGTGCATTGTGCCTTTGATGTATATAAATAATATACCATAACCAAATACTATTACGTACAGTGGAAATCAGGTTGCCAGAGCAGGTCAGTGTGCATGTTCCTCAACGTCTCAGCAGTTACAGGTGAGGTAAAGAAAATAAAAGAGAAAAAGGTCAGTAACAACACTTTAAAGTAACAACACTTTGAATAATTATCTCTTCTAACAATTTTCTCTCAATAAGCACACAACGACTGTCTTTCCAACAAACAGACTGTCATCACAATGAAACACGTCCAGAAGAATGTCATGCAAAGCTCCCTGCCTGCCTTCGACTCTCCCTGAACTGCTTCCTTAGCACCCGGTGGAGGGCGCAGTAGGCTACTCTTCAAATGTTTCACGAAATACTTACCATCATGTTTGGTTACTGTTTAACATTTTGGTTTACTTCATGTAATAAAATAATAACTTAATGGTAAGGCTACTAAAAATGACAAGGCTAAGTAATGTAATGCTAACTAACGTGCTCGCTACTCGTCGCTACTAGCTAGGTAGCTAACTTGACTATGCACATGAACATGCACAACATGTATATTACCTATGATATTACCTGATATGTCTGATCCAGCGACTCCTGGTCCTTTCATCAGACGGGAATCGATAGAAGGAGCAAGTGGTATGATCACTTTTATGACTACAACCTGGTACAAAGCACACAGGCATCTTGTAAAAGTGAATTTATTTTTAGCGATCTATAATTTATTGGAGGGAATAAATCAGTTATGAGATCTTCTTCTTCTTCGCTTTAATTACGAGTCTTATTATAAATCACCGAGCATGCCTGTGACATCACTTACGCGACCCAGAATGGGATTTGGGATTTGTAGTCTTTGTAGTAGCGTATTTTTCATAGTCTTATATTTCAACAGTTTTACGACAAAATGTGACTTTTTTGACCTGGAAATGATTGTTTAAGATGGACAAACATCATATGTGTAGTTCGTGGCACAATTCAAACGGGATCAAAAGATATGTGTTCTCTCTCCATTGAATTCAATGTAAATTTTTCGCTTCCGGGGTCCCATGGTCCGGAAGTAGATGGGCGTGACTTCGCCTCTCCATATAAATAGCATACGCCATTTTCATGGAGGTGCAAATATCCTGGAAGTGCAAATATAAACAGCTAGCTAACATAGCCAGGCAGAGCGCACTAGTTTTTTTTTCTGAATTAACGACCGAAGAAATCGCTGCATGTCTTCGGATTACATCTCTGGACTTGAGGGGTGTGCTCTAGGTCGTTACCAGCGTAAACTAGAGCTGTGTGGGTTGTCGGATTGCCCTTACAGACTGCGTCGATTTTGGCTGCATCTACGTCTAATTTCTGGAAACACCAGGTGAATACCCCACTTGTCACAATAATATTATCATGCCATTGCATATATGTGGTATTTTAGAGTTGACTATATATTGATTAAGGCAATAGACTATGATATTCAGTACAGGAAGCTTAGCAACACCTAGACGGTGTACGGCTAAACCCTTGGCCTGCTTGCACCTCGTGTAAAACGGCGGATACCGGAAGTACGGTGTCGCCCTCGGCCCAATACCCGTATGTGTGTGTGAAAGAATTAGGCCCTTTACTTGTTAATTGTTACAACGCGTTGTTATTTGTTATCTATTGAATGCTGTGAGATAAATGTGGTGGAGTAAAAAGTTACCTACAATTTCCTCTCTGAAATGTAGTCAAGAATTGGCATAAAACCTCTTAAGCCCCACGGACCCGGTACCAGGGCCGAAATCGCGTGATTTGCAGGAAACAACATCTAAGGAACCTTAATATTTAATAAACTATGGATATTTTATATCCATATAACGGGAAAAAACTCATTTAACTGATCTTTTTCATTTTTTTTCTTCAAAAAAAACACACAATGCCAACACTGACCCTCTGAATTAGCCCAGAGCGAAAAATGCTAACCTAATACTGCACCGAAAATCACTCCTAGCTCCCTTATTACTTATCCTAGGTGCACATCCAACACATCGTTTATGATCGTAAAGACACAGAATCTAACCACCCTTAAATGATGGGATAGTAGACTAAAAACTTTAGGAATCCAAACTATAACATATAATAAGTACCCTGTATCAAGATTGATGCAAAACAAGTGAAATTTGACCTTTTTAGAAAGATAGTAGGCCTACTGTAGTTAATGTGCTTACTTAATTTGCCAGTATGTTTTTGCCTGATCCCCTTTATTTGTTATACATATTTAATTTACATTGTTTCATTGACAAAAATCTGCTTGTATGCAATAGTTGTGCATAAAGAACTTGAACTTATACGGGGGTCGACCCCATAGTAACCGATTCAGGCCTGATTTATAACGCCTCATTGACTCAGAGCCTGGGTGTCAGCCAAGTAGCCGCAGCGGACTCCTGGTGAATAAGATATCTACAGCACACATCCTTTTAAAAACGTTTAAATTATTAGGAGATTAAGCGTAGCTTACTCATGAGGGTGCATGCCTTTATGACTCACAAAAGTTGTACTGCAACATGTCGCTGTCCAACACTTTTTTTGCTTTCAACTCACAGAGTATAGATTAAATGACTGTAAAATTAACCGAGCACCTGGTAAAGGTCATTTTAAAGAAGATATTGTATTTTTATATTTGATACTTGTTTAGGGTATCTGTATGTTTGTGTCATCTTGTGAAGATGACTGAAAATTACATAAAAGTTGGAAAAAAAAGAAAAATATATTATGTAGAGTCTATTGTTTAAACAACTCTGGTTAAAAAAAAAGGATTAAACATATTGATGGTTTATATGATTACTACCCGCAGGAAACCATAGAACATGTATAAAGTTATCCTAAAAGCAAAGGGGCCATCCTGGGGGGCATCAGGCTCATAACTCTTTTCTAGTTTTAACCATAGACTGTATGCGTTTTACACGGTGTTATTATGGTTTTAACCAGAGGTTTTAACAGACTGTGGTTCCCAGTTCACCCTCCAGTCCAGACGGGGCGGTAATGAGCTGTGCTGTTGTTATAAAGCCCAAACCGCAAACATGCTGGAAGGAAAAGACGAAGAAAACCAGCCGCAGCACCAGTGGCAGCCTGGCAGCTCGGCAGCTCGGCAGCTCGGCAGCTCGGCAGCTCGGCGACTCTTGTGAACCTGAGATGTCGCTCTCTATCTTCTTGGGTTACTTACAAGTTGAACAAGGGTGTAGATGGAAGAATATCAAAGAGAAGATGCAACTCTGCACAGGTAATTCTATCCATCTTATTCTGGTAAAGTGTTTTGGCTGACCATGTGGAAAGCATGTGGGCTAAGGATAACCACGTGGATTGCACCTGGATGTCTGCAGGGAAAAGTTGTATATTTCGATTTTAGCAACGTAAAATACTCTTAACACTACGATACTCATTCGGAAAAATATTAAGCCTTATTGTGAAAGATGGGTCCAGAGAGTTGTTATGTCGTTATTATGTTTCAAACGTGCATATTACATTTAGAGAACACACTTTGTTGTGTATAAAACATGTTGATGGAAGGTTGAACATTAAAAGGTTTTTTGTGTAATCGTTTCACAGGATCCATGGGAGGAGAAGGCCTGAGCTGAGTCACCATATAGGAGGCCATGCCTTAAACACCATGCGGCAGAGGTGAGGAGGAGCAGATGTATAGGCCTACAGTTTTTTGTTTTGTTTATACACTGGTCAAGTGTACCATATGAAGACAGCCAAATAACACAGCAAGACCATATATTGTATATAATTTGAATTCAAGTATTTTGTGAATTTCTTATGGGCTTTACACAAAAGATAGTTTGAAGACATGTAGCACGTTGAATTACATTTTTACAGGATCAATTTCTCTGAGCTTACTGAGAATGTGTGTTTTCCTACAGATGCCTTGTCTGAAGATGGGATTGTTGATCCGTATGTCACCAAGAGCAGAGACCTGCACAGGTAACTTGTTCCTATGAATACATTTGAGTTGAAAGCATGGACGAATTCTGTTTTACTCTTTAAATAGTAAATGCAGTCAGACACCATGCGAAAGTATTGTTTTCACACACTGACTTAACAACAGGATAAGAATGCTAAATATGGCGCTTATTCTAATGTCAGAGTGAATACAGAAACATATAGATATTAAAATGTGAGAATTTCGATATCATTCTATTAAAGATGGGGTAGGTAAGTTTGAGAAACCGGCTGGAGATACACTTATTGTTATATTCCATGGAATGCTCTTAACATCCCGATAGCAATGAATATCTTAAGTGCTTTGACAAAAATGTCATCTGTGGAAGCCGTGGTTCTGTAAAAAGCACAACCAATCATTTTAGCCGGCCCGGCTAAAAAAACTGGATGGCCTACCTGCCTGTCAGCCTTCCATCTGTGCACAAACTTATCTTGTCCCCTCATTGGTCATGTGCTCGTTCGTGTGTGTTGGAGGAGGGCTCTGTAATTAAGTGGCAGATTTTGTTCGGCTGTGTATTTTCAAATTCTAGCACACTCGAGCTGGTTTCTCTAAAATGACCTACACCACCTATAATGGAGTCTGCAACAAATCAAGTCCTCTTAAAAAATAATTAAAAAATAGATATCATTTTTGCATTTTATGAAGCTGTTTCTGGAATGTGTTTTTTAATTTTATTTGATAAATTACATGAGCACTACTCTCTGTAGCAATCGTAGGTATAACTTAGTTATTTACAGAGCTAGGGGGTATAGTTAATATTCAGAGAAACTTACTGATATTGATGTCAAATACACAATTAAAAAAAAATGGTTCCTCTTCCAGCATTTCGAAGGTGTGTTTGTGGAGGAGTGGAGTAATGCACGCAGCTGATCACCACACACCAGCCCAATGAAACATGGCTGATGTCCGGACTGTGAAGGCCTGATGATGGTATGTTATGTAACGACAAAGTATAAATAAAAGTCACACTGAGGCATGGACGAATTCTGTTCCAGCTGTTCTGTGTTGGCTACAGTCAGACACCATGCAAAAGTATTTCTGATTTCTGCCTAATAACTGGGTGAGTGCTTCTCGGCCTCATCCAGCTGTGCAGGAAACGGTACAATTATACTCTTTGAAATACTAGTTTCTGCTCTGCCAATTTTCATGTTAGTTATTTTCTGATATTTGATTTTCTATTTTAATTCTGCACAACAACCAGTCAAATATTTATAATTTCATGCTGTGATCGATATATTTCTGAATGGTTTTGTTTCCTACTACCCACAGCTTCACAAGGAAAAAGTCGTGCTAAAAGCGAGCACAATCGTGACTGAAGTTGTCTTACAATCTAAAGGTTGTCAGTTTGATCCCAGCTCTGTGCAGTCGATGTATCCTGAAACAGTGAATGTGTGACTTTGTAAAGACTTGATTCAAAATGGATACAGTCCATTTACCATGCATGTCACTTTTCTGTTTTTATAATAAACTGGTCTTGTGTATAACCTGTCAACATTTGTCCTGGAGTCCTTGTTCAAAATACAATGCAGGTATCTTAAAGGTCCCATGTCATGCTTTTCTGGTTATTACCCGCCCCCTTCTGTGTTATGAAGGTTTTTATGCATGTAAACGGTCTGCAGAGTTAAAAACACTAAAAGTACACTCTGTAGCGCAGGGGTGCCCAACCTTTTTTGAACCGATAGCTACTTTTAAAGTTGCCAGTCTGCCGAGATCTACCAGTCCAAATAGAGGTGTAGCCATTACTGACAGCCTATACTACCAGGTAAATACACACTTCTACTTGTATAAAACTGACCTTTGTACGATTAATACTGCAGATCCTTTATCTTACCTCTTTCTAATCTACACACACAAGTATTTAACTGAAGTTACACAACAGTGTTGTTGATACAGAGTTGGAGTTTATTCACACGTCACTACAGTGGGTAATGTTTTCAAGAAACATTGAACAGTGCTGCCACATATGACACAGAAAAAAAAAAAGACACTGAACCCTTTCTTTGCCATGATATAAAAATAGTGTTGCTACAAAAGTATAAATTAGGCTTACTAATAAGACAACTTGGATCTGAAGCTACACAGGAACCTACTGCCAAAGTGCAATAAAAAAAAAGACACAATTCATAGAATCAAACCCGTTGTTGCATTTCAATAGAGTATAAAAAGAAATGCCTTTAATAGGATGCAAGCAACACTAGTTTCTTAACCTAAATTGATAATAGACTATAATCAAAAGTTTGCATTCTTATACCATTTTGTACAATAATTATAATGAATAAGTTCAAACTAAAAATTACAGTTGATAAATAACGGTATCTAACTTGAGTTTTTATGTCAACCTGTTGAAATGCTACTGTTATTTTTACAGTCCCCAAAAAGTGCGTCGGCAGCCTCCAGGAATGCTTCTTTCACAACTTCGCCGTCTTTGAAAGACTTCATGTGTTTCGCAAGAACGTGACTGACACGATAAGATGCTCTGGTAGCACCCTTGCTCTTGTTGTTGGGCCTGGTGAAAATGGACTGCTGTGCATTTAGCTGTCCTTTCAGTTCCTTCACCTTTTGGGAGCGTAGGGCAGAATTAGTAGGGAATTCCGTCTCGTAGCGTTCGTGCACTGTTTTGGCAAATCACAAAAAAAAAATTCGAGAGATGAGTTATTACAATGTGACTTCACTATTATTTAACAACTCTTTTTATTGGGTTCTTTTATTTGGGGTTAAGTACATTGTCAGAATAAGTGAGAAATGGATTTAACTTCTGTTAGACAGCTATATGCCATACATTTTTGCATACACTCACAGTAAATATTTATTCAGTATGATAGCTGTCTAACAGAAGTTAAATTCATTTCTCACTTATTCTGACAATGTACTTAACCCCAAATAAAAGAATCCAATAAAAAACAGTTGTTAAATAATAGTGAAGTTACGTTGTAATAACAATAACTCATCTCTCGCTTTTTTTAGTTTTCTTTTTGTGCTTTGCCAAACGCCAAGTGTCCTATTTGGGTTGCCGTCCGGAGTTGTCCAATATGGCGGACCATCTCGCACATGCGCAGTACAGATCGGGCAGGGGGACAGATCGGGTAGTGACAGTAGTGACACTGGGTACTCTGACATGTGAATACCCAGTAGCCACGCCCAGAGATATGGCAGCACCCTCTGCCAGCCTTTCACGAAACAAAGCTTCCCAAAACCTTTCAGTGATTCATGCCGGATATGTACAGTGTAGGGCACTGAAGAACGATGCTGTTCCTACTTTGTTTGGACCAGCGGGAGATTCGGGTACACAACCTGTAAGTATTCATTGTTTGTGTATTTATGATGTTTAAAACAAACAAGGTATCTATCACGACTGTTTAAATGGGTAAACGTTTTTCGGACTTCTTCGTTTAGATCGTGGAGAAATGCTCTCCGCAGACCCATGCTCACAGCATTATAAACCTTTTTCTTACTCAATATCAAGCCACACTTATTGTTTTTACTTCGGCTGTGAGTGTTTGTGTGTGCTCAGGATGAGTTTCGCGTGTGTCTTTGTGTGTGCGAGCAGCAACGAGCCTGTCAGCTTCTCGACCAATCAGAGCACACTGGGCTCACAGGGAGGGTGGGCAGGAGCTCGAACAAGCCGTTTAGGACAGAGCAGAGCCATATAATAGAATTCTAGAATTCTGGGACAGAGTGAATACACATACTTTACAGAGATGCTGTATGAGAAACCAATGTGAGTTTGGAAAATTGCACAGTATAAATCTATTTTAGTATACCTCAACAATGGAATTATGATCAGTAGAAATGGCCATGACATGGGACCTTTAATATCCTGAGCATAACAAATCCAAGTTTTAGTCAATAACAAGACTTAGGATTTTAAATTAAATGCACCTTTAATTAATAAATCCATAGCATACATTTTAAACTGCAATAAATATAATACTTCCTTCAACGCTGTCATCAGTATAGACCTCTATGGTATAGACAAGTAGTTCAGTACATCCTGCTTAATAATCAAAGAGCCACGCAGTACCCACACACACATATCTAAGTCCATGCCTTTTCAGGTTTACCGTCTAATATCCAAGTCTGCCACTTGTTGGTTATTTCTAATGTTTTGCTTTAGCTGACAAAAGTTCTGACCAGATGTGTCATTTATACAACCAGCAAAGCGTTCACTGATTCTATAAAACTGTAAAATATCAAATATGATCTTAAACATACAGTACATTGGTTTAGAGATGAGCTGGAACTATTTTATACAGATATTAAGATTGATGCCTATTGATAAACAATTTCCTTTTGGTAATGTAACAGGGTGGCTGCTGGCTCCATTCTCTTAAGACATGCATCAAAGAATAAGTACATTCTCAGGTTATACAGCTAACAATGTGTACATTTGACATTCTATCTACATTTGTATGGCAGTTTGAGGTATATCAATTCCTCTAATAAATAATGCTGTATTTGAGAACTCATGAGCAATAAATGCTCTCCAGATTAAAGACAGACTTTAATTAACTTGTCTGGTGGTGATGTTTTGCCAGTTCATTTCCTTTATACAACAGAAGAGCACAATAAGCCAAGCTGAGTAGAACCTCTGCCGCAGATCAGTCCTGAGCTCTTCACCAAATGTGTTGCACCGGCTCTTCTGCCTCGGCAGCCATCGACAGCAGGATGGCTTTGGGAGTGTTCTCGAAAAGTGCTGCTCTGTTCTGAGTTTGTCCTTTCTTGACCCAGTGGCCGTAGATCTTGAAAGCACAGGCGTCTATCAGCTTGCGGATTGGCTTGACGGCGTACGGGTCGCTCATGATCACCTCCTTGGTGACGGGCTTGGCACGCCGGTAGTTGCAGTAGATCCGCATCGTGGCGAGGACAGTCATGCAAATGACCTGAAGGAGAAAATGTGGGAGAAGTTAACTGGTGTCTAGGTGTATCAAGGGTATATTACATTTGGCAAAGTGTACTTGACTATCACTGAAGTAATGTTATGACACCCTATACAGACTCCTAGTTGATAACACAAATATTTATGTTTAAGTGGTTGGTAGATAAAGCTTGGTTGACTAGGTCAAATGGACAGAATAAAAAAAAGATATTGAGAAATATCTAATCAAGGGAATAAACACAGGTGAATGCTGTGTTAAACTGCAGCAATACATTTAAAAATACTATTTAGAAAAATATTGAAACTAATAGTTTCCCTTACGTACGTATATTTAATCTAAGTGGTCAATCATTGTGTGACATTACATTTTAAAAGTGGTCCTCTGGTCTATTTTTTCATTTTCATTTAATCGTTTATTTGAACTGGGACAATGCACATCAATGAACATTTTAAACAAAATAATACTTTGAAATGTAAATTAGCCAGATTTTAGCTTTGAGCAAATTGCCATCCGTAGTCCCGTCACATACAACATTTATGAACATAACATTTATATACATGGCAAACAGAAATACATGATATGCAGAAAGAGTATGAGCAGCATACAAGTATTTGTACCTTTTCCACAAAGACACAGTTAGCTGTCTCAGTGGAGTGGTGAGCGAACTGCATTGGGTGGAGTGGAGCGAAACCTTTATCTAAATGTTTGGTGATTAGTTTTGACACCCATTTCTCAGCTATCTCAGAGACACAGGGGAGGATGCTGATTGGTCTGTAATTGGATATCATTGCCTTATACCCAGATGTAAAGATCGGTGTCATCGTGGCCACCTTCTAGGATGATGGAACTTCCATCGTGCTAATAGATTGATTTACTAGCATACTAATTGGTTTTATTAGACCGTCAATATTTGTCTTTATAAAGTTGGTGTCTAAATCATCTGCATTCCTAGCCTTAGAATCAATCAATCAATCAATGTTTATTTATATAGCCCAATATCACAAATGTTACATTTGTCTTCACAGTTTGTACAGAATATCAGTATGACAATACGATACCCTCTGTCCTTTGACCCTCACATCGTACAAGGAAAAACTTCCAGAGAAAACCCACAGTTTAAAGGGAAAATGGGAGAAACCTCAGGGAGAGCAACAGAGGAGGGATCCCTCTCCCAGGACGGACAGACGTGCAATAGATGCCGTGTGTAAATCGAAAAGATAATACATTTACAACATAGGTAGGCCAAATGTTTGGAAATGCATGTGTCTGTTTAGAACCTTTTAACCCTGAGATTATATGTTTTACCTCCACCTTTGTGATTTCCTCCAGGTCAAAAACTGGATGTGTATTCACAGTCGGGCTAGGTGAGACCTCAGATGGCGGGAAGAGCTTTGTAATATCCAGAGCACTATTTATAAAATACTCATTTAGAGAGCTGGCCAACACTGCAGGGTCTTTTATCAGGGCATCATTGATTTTTAATTCTAGTGCATTAGTTTCTTATGTTTACCTAATAGTTTATTTAGGATTTGCCAAACGTTTTCACTGTTACCTTTCGCACCTTCAATTATATTGATGAAAAAGTTTGCTTTGGCCTGTCTTATTGTTTGAGTTA